CCATTTGTTTCCTATGTTAGGATTCCATCATGTTCCTCAGCTCCTCTCTAGATTTATTAATCATGTCTTGCACTAGGAGCACAATTTCTCCTGTTATCTGAGAAATTATTTCTGATTTCATTTTTTCCAGATCGCCTTTTGTTGACAGTTCAGTGGGTACAGGTGGTTGAGTATCAGAGTGTTCCATCTCATTTCCTTTTGGGGTTGCTGTAGGTGATATGGACGTCTGGTTTTGAGACTTATTTATGTGTTTTCTCATTTCGACTGGGGGGGCAGGGAGGTGCTGTTGGAGCCCACGTGGCTCACCTCCTCTGAGCTGGGAGAGGTGGGACAGGGGCCGGGAGCGGCGGTAAGGATGGTGGCCTGGAAGCCCCTTCCTCTGGACCAGGAGCAGTGGGATGGCAGCTCAGAAGCCCCTACCTCTGGGCTGGGAGTGGCGGGACAGATGGTGGCCGGGAAGCCCCTTCCTCTGGGCCGGGAATGGCGGGATGGACTTGCTAGTGCTTCAAGGTATGGACAGCTCAGACAGCAAGTCCTAGCCTCCTTCACCTCATTGTTCTTGCAATGGTTCCTTCTCTCATTCTTTTCCCCTTTACTGTCATTATAATTAGCATGCAACTATGCTGAAAATCATCCCTTGACCCAATATACTTCAGTGCCTACTGCTTTATTTCTTTGCTCTTTTTTAAAGAATAAAACTAGAAAATTATCTTTACTCTCTGACTCCACTTCCAGTATTCTCATTCTCTCCCTCCACCTTTCACATATGTGTCTCAGAGCACAATCTGAGGCCTATCCGAGGCTCAGCACAGCCTGGCCACCCCATGTCTTGCTGTCCTCTCCTAGTACCCTCTCTCTCCACTCCCTCAGCTCCTGCCACAGGTGCTCCTGGCTGTGCTTCCTACAGATTTCCACCCAGGGAGTGCTTCTAGATGCTACAGAAGAGTTCTTTCTTGATGGCCTCTGCTCACCTTCACTGGAGAGCGCGTCATCATCTCCCCAGAGCCTCTGGGGAATATTCGTGCCTGTGCGATCATTTCCAACACGCTCGTTTTCCCAGCACTCTGATCACCAACCACAATGACCTTTCCAAGAAACAAATAATAGTTATTCATATTTTTTGACACCCAATTAAATTTAAATACATTTGGAATACTGCTCTGTGGTTTTAGTGTCTTAAAAGATTTATAGATAAAAATGAGTTCTGAAAAATCCATGAAAAAATGGTTCAAATGGTAGGCACACTGAAAATATAAATAGAAAAAATTAATTGGAACCATTATTTATAGTCAAACTTTTATTTTTTAAAAAGTGTGCTAATTAAACCATTATTTCTAAAATTAGATTAGTAACTTTCCACAAATTTTTTCCATAGCTACTTTACTTTTTACCAACACATTTTGAATTCTAGTAAGATAAATTTCATTCATATGCCTAATTTAATTCTCTGTTAAGGTATTTTAAAATTACAAATATAATAAATTTATAGTGCCACATCTGATAGTCTTCCCTCATAACACACAACTGTAATAAACAGATAAAAGACATTTATATTTACTTATATTTATATGGACCAAAATAAAGAGCCAAATAACACTCCATGGTGAAGACATCACTGGAACACACAAGTAAGATTTTACAGGTAAAAAATGTGTCTGTATCTATGTGTGTGTATATATAAAATGTATATATATATTATATATACATATTGTTTTTGAGAAACTAATTGCTTTTTTTTATGAGCAAGTTCACCATTTGCTACTTTTTCACTTACCCGTGGTAGATGATCTTGTGTATTATAACTTGCATCATAATCAGACAGAACATCAAGAACTTCAGAATACATATCAATCAAAGATTTCTGTAAAAGTTTTTAAAAAAATGATAAAACAATGAAAATATTAAGAAAAAATACAAGTGTGTCAAGAGAAAAAAGTTGATAAATTCAAATTGTCTTTTCATGATCATTATATTGCTTTTTCCAATTACTATACATAGACACATCTTCATGGTAAAAACTGAAACAGGACAGAGTAAAATTCCATTTCTTCTTCAGTTTATCCCGAAGCACAATGATTAAATATAGTGCCTTAATTTAGGGTCTCCCAACCTCTAACTAAATGGTAAGAGAGGGGAGTGACTGACCCTGATGTACACACCAACAGAGGAAAGCCATTAACACCAAGAAGGCCAAATAAGGGGTCAGGTGATCAATTGACAAGGAACCCACCCTTGGCAAATGTGGGGTGTGTGGACAAGGAGAGGTCACAGAGTGTGTGCACGTGAGCGCCGCAGGCTAGAACTGGTGGAACGGTCAACAGGAAGACTGGGAAAGCAGTAAGAGTGATTAAATGGCCCTAGCAGCTGAGCAGGCGACCATGGGACAGCATCAGGGGCAGATGGCCAGGACTGAGCACAGTGCCATAACAAGCCTCAAGTAAAATATCTGTTGAACAAACAAATAAAGAAATAGGCCTGGAAAAAGGGAAACCATCAAACATTTAATAATTAAGGATAAGCCTCCCAGCCTTTCTTATATTTTATTCTGAGAGAGGGTGCTGCCAAGTTGCCCGGGCTGGGCTTGGCTTGGGCTCTTCCTGCCTCACCTCCCAGAGTGCTGGCATGTTAAGTGTGTGGCACCATAGTCAGCTTAACTAAGGACAAGATTTAATGACAAGGTAAAACAACATGACAGCTGAAGGTCCTCTTCGTTTCTTAATACCTAGAAGTAATGAAGTGGTAAGCAACTGCCATTCCATCTACCTCAAAAGAAGCAAAAAAATTTTCATTATTGCATTTTATGAGAGAAAATATCATTTTCTGAGGTAAGTTCTTGGGCATAACTTTCCTCAACTGCTAAGTGCCACTTGTAAATAAAGTACTTGTTGCCTGCTTCATACAGTCATGATTTAGGCTCAAAGCTATTACTGTATGTGGTTAAATTAGGAAACATCTTTGGACCCTGGCTACAGAAAGTAAGTGCCACAATATACTGCTGTCTTGCTATGCTGGAGCAAATCATGTTTATTTATTATGACATTCTGTTTATTTATGAGATTTAAGTTAAAAGAACTGCTTCAATTTAACACAGATGGATTGGCTTGGCAATTAAATTATTAACTGGGCAAGATGGCACACTTATCAATGAGTAATAAGTTACAGTTAAATATCCATTAGACTAACAATTCTACTTTTATAGATGTAGAAGTAAGCCTAAAGATAAACGAGGTATTTCAATTTTAGTATATGTGCTGCTGTAGTGAGCACTAAACTAGGCATTTCAGAAAAATAAATTGAACCTTAAGAAATTACAGATTTATGGACACATTATAAAGCTGCTGACATTAGGCTAGAAATAAAGAATAAAACACTTTACAGTTTCTTAAAGCCTAGTATCAATGTTAAGTGTCAAAGTTCTGAGAGTTAATAAGTTATAATGATAATACCTTAAGTTTTCTATGATGGATGCCTTTGTCATCTTTCTGCAATACTAATTTTCTCAATTCTTTGTTCTCCTTTTCTAAACGTTCCAAGATTCTCTGGTACTTTAACTGCAACAAAATAATGCACATAACCATGTAAGAAAAAGGTGAGTTAAACATTAAGTCTTACTTAAAATCCTCTAAAATTCTTGAGCCACATCACCCAACTTATCTAAAATGAATTATTACTTTAAAAGCTTCTACTAAGAATAGTATGTCATATAAACTGAAATTCATTACAATTTTCTATCGTAATTTAGCATTAATTTGAAAAATTCTTGGCTAGAAATTAAATTATTTAGAAATACTAAAAATGCAAGAATTTAAAGATGTCCTAAGGTACACCTAAGAAGCATTATTTCCTATTATATCAAAATTTTAAACATTTCTTACAGGGTCATTTGACAAAAATTCAAATTATTCCCAAGCCCACATTATTTTGTTTTAAGTAAGACGATATGATATAAAATGATAGAAGCTAGCATGCTGAGCGAGTATTGCACACGCATTAATTCTCTTAGCCTTCACAGAAACCCTATGAGGCACAAATGATACAGATTAGGAACTTAGGGTGAGGGACATCTTTAGCCTGCCCAGCAGTCACCCAACTTGTGTGGCAGAGGAAGAGTTTTAAATGTAGGTCTGTTTTAAGTCAAAGGCTCAAACTTTTCCAAGTTTTGTTAAATTTCCATTTCTAGAGAAAATATATTAATATTTAAAACACTGATATAAGAATAGATTTTAAAGGAAACTAATTCGTTTAGATAGGTTATTTTGTCAAAGTGCTGGCTGCTTGGTAATACACTTTTTCTTCTCAAGGAAATGTGGTCCTTGGTAATTGGTCTTTGGTCTTCCTAATTTTTTCTTTTATAAATATTGAGCATGTACAGAAAACTATTAAGAACTATTATTCTCTACAGTCAGCAGAATATTTATATATAGCTTACATCACACCATTCACAGTAGAAAATAGTTCTTAGAAAAGTTTTTAGGTTTTAATCTTCCAAAAGCCATACAAGGAAATCATGGTCTTAGTATCACAGAATGTCTAACTTAAACCAAATTAAAGAAAAATATATACAGTTGAACTATATATTATGAGACACATACAAGTATGGGCTAGACTGTATTCTAACATGTTTTTACATAATTTACTCACTGATATCTAATAATAGTACATTAAAAACTTCTGGTACATTTTTGCTAATATGGCATGTAGTTATTGAGCACCTGAAATATAGTTGGTTTGAATGAAAACATGTTGTGAGCATAAAATGCCTTATTAATATTCTTATATGTATTACATGTTTCAATACTGTAATACTGAGTTAAGTAAAATCATTATTAAAATCAATTCCACTTGTTTCTTTTTTACCCCTTTTTCTATAAAATTTCAGGCTTAACCTGTGAGCAGCATATTTCCTTATACTGGAGATCAATGGTGAATATATAGATTACTCCACGCTTTATTATATCATCAATTCTCCATACAGTGCTGTCACCGCCCAGAGACTAGCAACCACAACTGCACAAGTGAGGGGCTGATATCAATGGATACGTGAGGGTGGTACAATTTTCACTGGCTTTTTTCTTTGCAAAGTATGGCATCTGTTTAGGGGGTCTACATTTTCGTTTTTGGGCACAGGTGTCAACTTGCAGCCACCTTGTCCCCAAAACTCTACAACAGTGGTGCCGAACCTATGGCACATATGTTATTTGTTTTTCTTTTAAGACCAAAGATGTTAATATATGAATTGCTTTTTCTAAACTAAAACCTCAGTATTCAGGCTTAATTGCAGTGTTGGCACTTTGCGATACAGAATGGGCTTTGGGTTGCAGTCTGGGCATCTGTCTCTGAAAGGTTCATTTGCAACAATAATTCCTGCACTTTAGGATACATTACAGTATGTTGAGGGCTTTTAAAACAAAAGTTTGCAGGGTTCTACTTTCAAGACATTCCGGTTGAAAAGGTCTGGGATGGGGCCAAGAATCCACATTTTTAACAAGTTCTCAAATGCTACTGCTGCCACTGCTCCAGGAATCAAACTGGATTATCGAGTAGAGACAACTGAAATGTGTTACCAATACTGGCCTAGAAATGGAAAAACGCCAAATATACTTATACAAGAACAAATCACTTTCTTCCTTTTTGCGCAGCAGTTTAGTTTACTTTTAAAATTACAAGGACAAGATTCACTCAAAATTGGTTTTTACAAATAAATGAGTTAACTCAATACTTCTAAGTGGTTCTTTCTTTTGCCTTCTCAATTATGTTTTGTATGTATTGATAATAAGGTCTACAATTAACCATCCCAATTTTGCTTTGTTGAAAAATAAATTTTTACATCATCCAACTTACACTAGCCTATGAAAAAGTCCATGCTTTTTCTCATTCACCTGAATTACCTGAGTATGCAGAAGTTCTTCTTGAAGTTGGTCAATTTTCTCTTTGTCTGATACCTAAATGTTTAAAATAGATTTTAGTTAAGTAGAATTGGGTTTATATAGAATGTACAGTAAGAAAAATTTTAAACAAATTTGAAGAGTAAAAGCTACTGGCTTTATATGCATGGTTTGATAAAAAATTTTGTCATGTGATTAGTAAAAATAGCTCTTAAAAATCTTATATTAATAAGAAAAACCTTAAAAAAAGACTAATTTTCCTGTTGTCACTCCTGTCATTTGTTGTGAAAGACTTGATAGAAAAATAAGAGATCAACACATTACTATATTCATAAGGGGTTGTTGTCCACTAGAAATGTGTTTTGGGCAATCAGATCTGTGTTACTATATATAGTCACTGAAAAAGCTCATTGGTTACTGAGTATATTTTAAGGAAAAATTATGTATTTCTGCACTTTAAGTAGGGACGTTCATAATAAATGCAAAGAACTTGCATTTTCAGTGCTATATGTGGAGCCAAATGCTTGTTTTTAAATTCAATTCCAAGGAAAGATCTGCTAACATATAATATATGAAATTCACCTACAGTGATGAAAGCAACTAAAACTGATTTGAACATAAAACAAAAAACAAAAAATCCACAGGCACTAAACTACTTCAAATTATTAATAGTTCTAAGACAGACTATTTTAAAAACCCAAAGAACTTTATTGTATGACAGGTCTTAAAGTAGTCACAACACAATTCTAAATACAAAATACAATGATCAATCATAATAAATATGATGTCACTTGTGACAAATCCACATGACTCGACTTAATAAGGTACAGAAGTTGTCATCATCAGCCTTTAAAAATAACTGTCTAATTTCTGAAAATCAGAATTGGTAATATATATTTATTTCATAGGAGAAAAAAATAGTTAAATCCATGTTCTTTTTCATTTAAATCACTGTACAGCTTCACTTGTTGACTAAGCAATTAAGATATCATGGCAGCAAATATAGATAAAAAATTAAAATGATTAGATTATTAATAAGTCTTGTCCATTCCCTAAAATGTTTTCAACTTTTAATTCCTATTTCTAAACATTTTTCAAAAAGTTCTCCAAACTTTTAAATATTTGATAATGCTTGCTAGAAGTAACTATATTTTTCTGCCTTACAAGTATGCCTGAAAAATCTCTAAAAAATGATGTGGTAATTAAAGTATAACATAACAAAAACTTTAATTTTTCTTTTTTTGGGGTCATTTTTCTTTTTATATAGCAAGCATATTTGCTGATAGAATTTTTTTTGGACTATTTGTGTTTGTGTAGAACAGACAAGAATTATTAAGAGAGGAGAATAAGTTGAGGAGGAGCCCTCAATCCAAAGAACAAAAATCTAGCAGGCCAATGAAGAAATGAATGATTCCTTATTATGATTATATGGCATGCCATCATTCTGTAACAATGTGGTCATAAATAATTTGTTATGGAGACTAAATTTCCAACTCATTTTAAAAGGTACTTTGATTTACTCTGTTCCATTAAATATTTACCCAATTCCAGCTAAATCTATGTAAAATATATAAAGAATTTTAGTTTCAATTGTTTTAGCTTAGAATGTGAATATTTACTAATTTCATGCAATGTATCTTCAGTTACTAGAGAAAATTCAACATTACTCAACATGTGGGGCAATAATTGAGAGACTAACAATTACACATAAAAAAATTAAAATGTTTATTATAAGCCAAGGGTTATAAAAGTTTAACTCAGTAGTTTGGTTAAATAAAATTTACCAAAAGGTTATAAAATTTAAAAGATACAAGGTTATTACAATATTATAATCTTGATTTTAATATTAGTATTTAGTAATTGCAACCATTAAGATTTGTACAAATGTGGATGTTGAGGAGTACTGAAATTTATCATTTGCTCCTCTGGCACAATTTTGAAGAATAGCTGATGCATTGTTTACCAATATACTCTAGATGCTTAGTTTGATGGAGCATCAAAATTAATTTTAATGTTTATAATAAAAGAATAGGTGGTGGTGGAGTCAAAAATTAATTCTTAAAATCTGGTATTAATGTTTATAGAACAAATAGTAAAGACTGATGAGAAGATACTTTTACATGTTTTCTTAAGAGAACAGTACAAGGTATTTTCAATCTGTCACTTATTCTAGGTCTTAATTAGCAACTTGGGAGTGTTTCATTTTGATATAATTTATGGGTAGAATGCAGCTACTTACAAGCAGAAGTTCGTGTCCTGTTGTTTAATATGTTTTGTTTTCATTATGGAATTAATTTGAAACTCACCCTGACAGAAATGGTATCAATGGTCTTGAAACCAGAGCTTTTCTACAATTCCAGGGCTGTGAAATTGATGGAGAAAGAGCGGAATCCTCCGCAGAAACAAGCTAAAGCTGAAAGAGAAAAACCTTTACTAGCTCCTCACAAAACCAAGCCTGATTTTAAAACTGTAAGTATTTCTTCCTTTTAAGCCACTGGGGCCATTCTAAAACAGTGAAATACATATATATAAGTTATTGTAAAAATTTCTATAAATGTATACATATTATAGGAAGCAAAACTACCAGTGGCAGTTTTAATCTACTGTCTCTGCTTAAGATCTTTTGCTTAGAATATATAAAGATATTTATTATTTGTTTCTAACAAAATATTAATAAAGGTCTACTTATATTTTCAAGAAAGTAGAAGAGAAAAAATTAATAAAAAGAAACAAAAAGTAGCTGTAGTTTGTTTTGTGCCTCAAGCAAACTTCAAACGCCTAGAATGCTAAATTCTTATGAATAAATATTTTGATCACAATAGTGAAGGTCATAAAAGTCAACTCTACTAACTCCAGGTGAGGGGGAGGGGAAAACGGTATGTAGCTGGCCTTTCAGGATAATAAGGGGAATGATTTCATTAAAGAAGAGCAAAGTGTTTTTAGTTTCACACAAGGTAGTTCTAAAGAGGGCAGGAACAAGCCCTTTTGGTGCCCCACTCTGTGCACCTACATAAACAAAACAGACAGAGGTACAGTCCTGCCAGTCTGTTTAAATGGGGAAAGAGAGGTGTACAAGGATTTACATGGATGACCCAATAAATATTAGAAATAGGAGTGATACCTATAGGCCTCAGAAAAATCCCTAATAAATTAGTCCTAAAATATTTGGCAGTGTAGAAAATATAATAGTATTGATGACTAATATTTTCTGAATTGTCAGATTCAAAGGCAACTGGTAATTTTAACATGTACCTTGGAATCTTAAAATGGCCAGGTAGTTAGAATTCATTTCGATTTTATCAGTACAAAAAAACTTAAGACTAGTTTGTAAGTAGAGGTATATTCATATTTTTAAGCTACACACCAGAAGTCTCCCTTCTGTAACTAAACTAAGGTAAGGGATAACTCAGTGTAAGCAGTCAATTTTAGAATATTTAAATGGTACACTCATAGCATACAGAACAGAGACTGTTAAGTACTACTTAAAATAAGTCCTTCCTTGGCTTAATATGTCTATTTTAACCACACAGAAAAATAACTTTTTTTTTTTTAACCTATGCTATACATTCACTGGAAAGCTAAACAAAATATAGGTGTTGATTCCACAGCCATGGAATTGAGAAAAACCAGGAGTCACACTGAAAAAGAAATGGAATTATGATGACTACTCTCAAATATTAGCCACCACCAAATGAGATGAGGTTACCCAGCAGCACCATTGCCTTAAATCATTGTCTTAATTATTGGTTGACTGAGACATCAGAACCTATAGGAAGTTAATTACGCAACTGAATCTTTTTTCCCCGAGTAAGATTTGTATTTAACTGTAAAACTTTGCTGACCTGACAGACGTAACATAATTAGGTAATTTTAAGATCTCAGAGTATAACTGTAAAATCATTATTTCACTTTGAAATAATCACTATTTCTTTTTAAATAATGAACCTAGGAATCTATATTGTGGGACTGCCTTACAGGCAAAAGAATATTTTTTAAGGACTTCTTGATTGCAACAATAAAGAATATCTGGGTGACTCAATAACTGGATCACCTAAACAATAATTCATAATTTTATTCTAAACATAAATCCATGGACCCTCACAGATAACCTAACCTTCAATAACTAAATTCCTATGGTTGAGCTTCCTTTTTTGGGTCCTGTCTCCACTTACCCAGTCCAAAAAAGCTACATCTTTACATGATCAGTTCTTTTCATATTTGTTAAAAACAATTTCTCATGGTTGGAGTACACGAATGGATTAAGGCGACAATCTCGGCAGAAATGGCTGATTAGTGTGAATACATCAGTAGCCCCCTTAACCATCCATCACCTTGCGCTTCTGCTGGGCATAGCTTGTGCCATATTGGCCAGCGGCTCTGCGTGCTTCCTCTTCATGCTCTTGGATTTGCTGTTGTAAGAGAATGAGCTCACCAAGCAGACCCTGCCATGAGTTTACAGTGAGGAGAGGAGGAAATTGGGGAGGAGAACAATGTTAAACCAAAGGGCACAACACAGTAACAGATGGAAGAGGGAGGAATGGACAGCTTAAAACAAAAATGAAAACTCATGCACCCACAGAGCCTTCATATAACTGGGCTCCATAATGCATTTCCATTTTGTCCTCAGCAAGATTAGTAATCTCCTAAATAAAAAACAGCACAGTTTAAAAAGTGAAAAGAAAAATGCAGTAACAACTGCTGAATAAAATGAGCCAGACACAAAACATTAACAGTAAAACCTAGACCAACTGAAATGTTCAAAGAAGGCAGTGCTGTAGTTTACTGAATTTCCTGATAAAACCTGAGTTTTGAATTGCTTAATATGTGGTCTTGGCTTGAAATACATGAGGAAAAAAATTCAAATTGATTTTGTTTTTTAAAAACAGTGTTGATCTTACAGGCCTAAATCTTCTAATTCTAAACCTTAACTCTCACTGTACTGCTTAGAGGCTCATAATCATTAATATTTATGAAGCTATTATTCTTAGTTAAACAGGTATTCTTTCTTGACATGATTTCAATTAAAGGTTACAGTCTTTCAAAAACCTATGAATCTGAGTTTTCTAGCACCAAATTAATCAAGGTTTCATACTAATTCATATATTTATGTGCCTTTATGCACAAGCTTACTTGACTAAAATTTAGGATTCTTTTTGTAAATTTAAAAATGTTTTAGATTCTATTTTAACTTTATATAACATTAAATAACTAGTTTGACTGGTTTTCACTTTTTCTGAGCTGTTTTGACATTAAATAGAAATAGCCTGAGAATATAAGCATGTATCATTAAGCAAAAGCCTATGAAAGAACATAAAATATAGAGACAACATACTTATTATGAAAATTAAAAATAAAACAAAAGTTTGGACCTATATACAAAACAATTAACTTTTCTACTTCTAATATTAATCCCACTTAATCATGAAATATTACATTGGTACAATTTTTATTATAATCTATCATGTATGGCCTGATATCAAAATACATGTCATTTTCTGAACAGTATTTTTCATTTGCTGGTCTATGAGATAATCAACCCTGAGAAATGTGGTGGAAAGGCCAACTAAGAACTGACAATGTCTCAAGCCTAAAGTTTTCTCAATCAGAAATCCTAAAAAGCCAAAGTTCCAATCAATGGGGTAACTGAATTACACAAGGTAAATGATTTGGAAGAGCAATAGGCTCAGTTTTTACCAAGTCATAAAAATAAAGAGGAAAGTTAATAGAGTCTAAGTTAGGAGTTTTAAGTAACAGGAATTTTTTTAAGTGACTGTCAAAAATATTTTGTTTTGTATAATTAGCAAAGTATGTTAAAATGCTGGTTAACATTACATTCAAAATTTAATTAGTACAGTCACCTAGAGCCTTACTTAATTTACCTTATATAACCCAAGGACTTAAATAAACATAAAGATTTTCCAGAAAATAAACAGATATTAGTATTATAGTAAAGCACTTTAAATTATACAAATGTTGATATATAATTTAGGGAATTTTTGATTGATTCTTTTTTTTTTTTTTTTTGGGTACTGGGGATCGAACTTGGGACCTTGCGCTTGCAAGGCAGGAGCTGGAACCACTGAGCTAAATCCCCGGCAATTGATTCTTAGTTGTACTATTTTAGGGTATGATCCCTGCTAATATTAATATTAAAGAATGAAATTAGTTGAATTTTAAAATATCATTGCTTTTCATCCAACAGAAAGATATCTGACAAATTAATACATTTGCTCATTTATTTTGGTCACCTATCTCCTATCCAAGTGTTTAGATTTCCAAATAACCACCTCAAAAGCAGCTCCCTATATTGGCTTACATAGTAGTATATCTGCTGTATCTACATACCTCTGGCACTCTCATTTACACAATGCCCAAGCATTTTTATTTGTAGCTTAAATACCCCCCTCTAAGTCACTGCTTACATCTGTAAGCAACAGTATGGGAAATACAGCATTCTAATGTTTATTAGATTACAAGAAAACACTCTCTATTGACAAGTCCCTTTCCTCCCAAGTCTGTGTCTGAAGTTCTGCTATGCGAAGAAGATGAAATTATACCTCCTGAAAAAAGTAGGAAGAAAACAATGAGACACAGACAAAGCTATTTACACTATACTATACATCTTAAGGAGGTTACCTTTCCCCACACTTAGGCATCAAATCTCACCCTAAAAACAAAGTGATGGGCTATTCAGCTTCTAATCTAAGGCCATGTGGAATAGGAAAGGGAAAAGATGTGTGTACCTACCATGCAAGATATACTTCTTGGATGTAAAACATCTATTTTTATCAATAAATGTTTTCCAAAGGATGGAACATTTTTCTCTCAAGAAACAGCATACACATAATTATTTAAAAATGCTTCATATAAAATACAGTAACTGTCATGCAAAATAATAATAATTGTTAACAATTACAGATTATATACTCTCTCAATGTCTCCTGGCCATTGTCAATTTGACACTGCAGTTCTCCATCTTATATCTCATGTACAATGTTCTCCATTTTTAAAAATTATAACACCAGAAAAGAAAATTACTAATACCTCAAGTCTAAAATATCAAATAAAAATGCTTTGTTTATGGCAAAATTCAAAGACTTCAGTGGAGGGATTTTAAATAATATTGAGTAATATGCTGTGCTCTGAAGGCTTGTCCCTGCAAACTTATACTGCAACCCAACCCCAGTGGGACAGTACCAACAGGCGGGACCTCTGGGTGGGGAGCAGGCTCTGGGACTGGCGGCTTTTAGAAGAAGACTGTGAGCTGCCTCCACTGTGAGCCATGTATACTCTCAAGGAGAACGCGCCCTCTCCATGCACCCTCATCAGACACCAGGTCCACTGCCACCTGGCTCCTGGATTTCCTAGCTTCTAGAAATGTGAGAAATCATCTGGTCTCTAGAAGGCATCCCAGTGCACGGCACTGTTACAGCTGCCTGAACAGACTAAGACAATCACAAGTCACTCGTATGTGAGCACATTTAAAATACTATTTTTAACAGTATTTTAAAAAGTTATAGCGGACTGAGCCCCATATCCTGTTTTGGTTTGTTTTTTGTCACTTTTTCTTGAGCCAGGGGCCTGGCTATGTTGTCTGGCCTGGTCTCCAGCTTCCCCTGCCCAGTAGCTAGGACCGCAGGTGTGCACTGCTGTGCAGGGCATCCTATGTATTCTCACACACAGCACCTAGGATAAGGCCTCATACACTTGAGATGTGATACAGCCACTAAGTAGAGCAGTATTTGGCATGTTTGTTTGCCCAGATGAGTCAAATTATGACTTACTTTTACCTACTAATCATATAAAGTTTTTAGGTTAAAATTCAAATGGGTTTTTTAAGGGTTTAACTTAATTTGTAAGCTAAGCTTGTAAGCTACACATTAAGCATACAATTCATTCTCCTGTCATTCATGATTCTCAGAAGACTCCCTACAAGACTGCAGGGAAGAAATTAATAAAATAACAGTAATGTGATGCTAACTCACACAATAATGCAAAGTGAAAGAAAACCACCGTTGTTGTTGCCTTCCTCCTCCTCTGAACAGCTAACATTTGCTCAGTTTGATCATGCAATGGGTCTTATGTTAAAGGACTTTACACAATCTTCACAACAACTTTATCAGGCAGGGTTAGCCCTTCTACAAAAGAGGAAGCCAGAAACTCAGAAAAGGTTAAGTAATTTGCCCAAATTACGTAGTTTAGGAAGCAGGAAAGGCAGGTTCTGAATCTAGAAACTGTGACCACAAAGTGTATATCTGACATCACTCAATAATACGGTCCATCTATTTCCAAATTATCTTTGATCGATGAGGTTCAAAGTGCATTTGAGAGGGGAAAATAGTAACACTACAATACAATAGAAAGTATATTTAAATTAGAGCAGGAATTGGCAAACTATGGGGAGCAGGCTGAGTAGTTTATAGAGACACTATAGCTTGCAAGCCTAAATAAAACATTTATTATCTGGCTCTACAAGGAAAAGTTTGCCAACCCCTGCTTTAAAAGTTTTGCAGTAACTTTGGTTTGGCAAAAGAACATCATACAAGTAAAGGAGTTTTAACTTTCTATTTATTATTTATTTATTTATTTATTTATTTTTGGTACCGGGGATTGAACTCTGGACCTTGCACCTATGAGGCAGGCAGTGGCACCACTGAACTAAATCCCTGGCCCATATCCTTCTATTTAAAAAAATATTCCTAAACATTAAACCATATTCCAGAGTTTGAAAAATTCTATTTGGTTAAATAAAAAACTATTTTCCTATTTTCCTCCTCCCAGTAATATGTAACTCTGCTCAAGGTATTTACAGCCAACTGAAAAATATTACTGGTAATCAGAAGGAACCAGGTCTTTCCACTTGGGATTAACTTGCTCCAACCCAGAAATACCATATCCTATTTCACTATTTGAACAATTTCTACAAATAATTTTAAGGATGAACTAAACAGCTATTACCAATAATTATCAGTATTACAATTTTTATTATAATTAAATTCTTAAGTGAATCTCCTTTCTTCTACATAATTACCAAAAAACAGCATTTTATACATAAACATGCACATACTAAAAGCATTTACTGTTTCTTGAATGACATAAAAGAGGAATGTGCAGTTATTATGGAATGAAGTAAGGCTGTTTTGCCCTTCCACTTTTCTGCATGGAGCTATTCCCTGCTTTTCTCCTCTGACCCCTCAGCGTCCCACCTACTAACACTCCAATGTACATATGAAACATGTGTAGCTAAGAATCTAACCAGCACAATTGTTAGTTATTGGCTGCTTAGAAAACTCAAGAATTCCCAAAATTTGTGGTTACTTCATAGTGCAGGTTGTGAGAATTTAATTTTGCAATAATTATTACAATTATTTGTTGCATAAGAAATCTCAAAAATGTAAATCCTATGTAAGCAACATTGCTCTATTCCATATCAAAATACAGTATCAAACATATAAAGCACTTCCACAACCTTGTTCTTCTCAACAGTTGTCAAATATGAAGGCCAAGAATAATTCACAGGTAATCAGAGCAAAAAATCTTTAGCCCACCTTTGTTAGCATCAACCAAATGTATTTACTTTAAACTTAACTTTTTTCCTGCTGAGTTCAAATAATCAATTAATTCTGCTAAGAGCTCAACACTCCTAGGTGCTCTGAAAATGTATTTAATGACAGAAATGGTTCATTAAACAGTAAGAATACAAAACAAAGTATAGTGTTTCATATGGCAAGTCTTGTAAACTTTGAGAGAAGATAACTAATGGAATCAGAATGGTTATGTCAGGCTTCATAAAGGTGACAACTGAGCTGTACTTTAAGGATGAGTAATTGGCGATTAGGGAGGAAGAAAAAAAAGGATGAGGGATATTTCAGTTGGGAGATGCATCATAAACTGTAAAAATAAGGATTAGAGCAATAATGTTGGAAGAACATTAATGTATTAATATTTAATAATTTTACTGAAAATACTACTACTACTTTTTAAGAGTTGGGCCTTTAAAAAGTCCTTTAAATATTGTCTATAAATTATAAATGTGCATGTTACCTTCAGAGTGGCCATATTCCTTACTTCTATGAGATGCTTATGACAAAAAGAAACACGACAGGACAAAAGTACAGGTAATAAAATGTCTCATTTAGTACATCAATTTTCACCAGAACACGGCAGTCTTACAGAAACCAAAAAAGAAGATACACTAAGTGTATCTAAGATATAACTAAGTATATGAACTGATACACAGAAATCTGATGCTTTACAAATCAATGATTCCATTAATTGACTAAAATAGGCTCATCACTCCAATTTGTGTTCAAGTAGGTTTAAGTTCTCTAAGTCTCAAGAATATTATTCAGTCCACACCAAGGGCTATTTCCTATATATTCTTCCAATGGACACTGCTAAAACTTTTGATTAACAAAAAGCACTTATTAGAATGTGTTTATATTGTATGTCAATCAGACCTCAACAAAGTGTTCTAAGTTAGGTTTAAAAAGGGCTTTTACTGTTTTTTCAGTGTTCTACTAATCAAAGACACGTATCAGAAGTTTGGATCAGCACAGCATAAATAACTAGTGTCCACAAACTAAATAGATATAAATCCAGGTAAAACCAGAGAAACCCGATGATAGGTTGGCCTATGCAGCATTATGTGCAAATATATGCTTTCGGGGCTAGGAAGCCCTCGCTAGGAACCACAGGTGATCAGTTCACGTATCATCCGCCCTGACTGACTCTAGCCACACCATCTGTTTCCCTCACCGCCCATCACTTTCACTTCCACTTTACTTCACTATGAATGACCCTAACTATGCCTCTGCTTGCTAGGACTTCTCCAGCTGTATTCTCCTATTCAGAGGACAAATCTTTATTTTAGTTCTAGTTGTAAAAAGAGTTTTCTGGTGCTGCACCTGGCTGGCAAGCGCAAAGTCCTGAGTTCAATACTCGGTACCAAAAAAAGAAAGTTTTCCAATTATTACTCCTTTTCAAAAAATCTGATTTGCATTTACATTCATATTTCTAGCAGAAGTCTAATTAGAAACTGTCTCAAACCTCACAACCATTAAACGTACACAGGACTGCTTCAGACCGTGAACACTATTTTAAATCTGGAACTCTCAGACACAAGACTGAACCAATCAAAAAGGTTATCAGCTAAACTGTAGATGCCGTCCTACAAGCTCTGATTATTCCCCACATTTTTACTTGATGTCTGAGTGATTTCAAAAAGATCACTGCTCTATTAAAGCCTCTTCTTGCATGTTTACATTCAGTTGTCAATTTGCAGGGTCGTTTCTTAGGTCAGCCTATCTGCATTTTGCCTGAGTAGCTCACTATTCTCAAGCATCACAGGCAGCAGTCAAGCCTTAGGAATACAATGCTGTGTATCAACAACTTAAAGCCATCCAGTGGGGTGGGAGATACTTTTCTTGCATAATAATTTTTTATATTAGCATTAATTATAATTTGCTTTAACGTTAATAAAAGTAGCTAAAACTCCAGTTTCAGTATTTATAAGAAATCATTGGAAAAAATAATTACTCAGTTTTTAGTGGGCAAAATAATTACCATAAATTAATAAAAAGTCAAGGGAAATAATTTATAAGGGCATTTCTCATTAAGTAAGCAAAGAAGTAAATTATATAAAACAATAAAATTACTTTTATGTCTGTTTCATAAAATAAAATCTGTAAATATTATTTAAAAGATGCACTATATTGTTTCAGCTACACCGAAGAGCTCACAATCAATTACTGATTGTATGTTTGTTACCTTGGTGGGGTTTTAGGCACTGAATCAAGACCCGAACTAAGTTCTCATTCACCAGAGTGATTCCACACCGTACCAGAGAGAAAGCAGACATGCATACCTCCTTGAACTGCTCCAGGCAAAAAACATACTGTCACTCAAAGAACCACACTGCCATACCAGTAGTAAAGGCTCTTCCTTCCCCATTAGATTAGTTCCTTTCTGCTCATTAAGTTTACCTGCCGTAAGCGCCAAGGCCCTGGTTCAAAAAAAGCTGCATGTTAGGCTAGTTTCTCTCCCATCCTGCTCCCCACAACATGCAGGAACAGTCAGGAGTGTTCTTTTGGTTAAGACTATGTAAATGGAAAATGTGTCAAGAAAGATCAAGTTAAAAGGAAAATATAAACATACACATACACAAACACACACACAGAAATTTTTTCCTTCAAAAGATAAAAGTTAAAAGGTCAAAGAAAAAAATGTTTAAAATAAAATTAAAATTTGGGATAGCCTATAGAGTTTGGAGCTGAAATAGAGTAAAAGAGGTAGAAATCTATCAACAGAAATTATTTCTTTGTTCTGCACCCCCAATTATTTTCTATGATGTATTAAAACTCAGTATAAAAGCTACATATTCTATATTTAATTTTAAAATGTTCACAAAATTTTTCCATTAATCTACTTATCTAGATTACTATTTTTCAAAAACTTTTTAAGTAATCATAAGAATGAAAAAAGCAGAGACTAAGAAAATGTCTGGTAAACATGATTAAAAATTCAGAGGAAAGCAGGTTGTCCTGTCTCAACAACTCTATAACATTAATATGTGATTCTCCTTATAACTTTAATACAAATTCTGTTAATATAGTTGTGTTACAGTAGACATCCTCTAAGTGGCCCCATATATAACTCTCAATAAAAGAACTGACTTATTTCCTACTGACTCACTTCCTACTGTTTCGTATTTTCCACTAAGTGAAATGTCATCCCTAGAATACAGCTCACAAGAGAGGGCTCTCCTGCTCAATTCTGTGTGCTTTGAGTCCTCTCAGAGATTCACAATGCACACGAATATATTAAGGTCTGGAAAGTGCTGAGGAAAATAAATCTGCTTGTTTTGTCTACCTCAGCCATTCCCACACATATTTAATAACAAATTCTTTCCTAGGGCCAACCTTTAAGTACTGTTTCACACAGCCTATCTGAAGGAAATGGGTCTCTCTCACTACATTTCCAAAAGCGTCACATAACACCTTGTGCTAAGATTGGTAAAAACATCTACTAAGATGACTTTGTATTTGTTCCTCACATATTATCATTTTCAAATCTTCCAAAAAAGTTAAAATCTTAAAAATCTTTCAAGACTACCTGTGAGAAGCATTCTGTTTCATACTTACCTTCCTATAAGGCTTGTCACTTTCAGATCCATGATCTGTTGCTCTAAATGCTGTTTCTCCGGGTGAACCTGAAAGATAAATGTACCATCGTCCTTCAAATTGGCCAATGATGTTGCTAACCTGAGCCAAATTCCAACTCATATCTAATTAATTAAAAAGTATATGGATCTTACAGCAACTCAGGTCAAAGCATCAAATCTCTTTTATTTTAGGGGACATTAATGATAAATTATGTGAGTTTCTAAAAAACTGTAGCACATGTTTAACCTATTTAAAAATCATACAACCAGAAATTATGATTAAAAAAAGACACTCTTTAGTCAGGACTCTTTTACACGAACATACTTACAGTTTAACCTTGTATCACTGCCATCAGACCACATATACGATACAAAAACAAACTTAAAATTGAAAACTATGACAGGGCAGATGAGACAAACTAAAATTACTTTTCATTTCAATTATCAAAAACAATTAATCTACTTCAAGAAAATCTTTTGGATAAGCAAATTTTCTTTTAATAGCTTTAATCTTACATACACATATTTAGGAATTTTAGTTTTACCACAAAATAATTATTTTATTATCTCCACCTAAAAGATAGTGAGTTTATAGTTTTGGGTTTTTATAATTCAGCATAAGCAACAGTATAAATTTGGTGTGCATTTTATTTGCAACTAGTTTATTAGAAGCATTGAAAAGGCATGTTAAGGTCAGCAAAAATGTCTGTTTACACACCTAACAAGAGAAGTAGGTCAGAAGCTTCTATGACTTCACTAACCAATTTGTGACCTGTGAAAAATCAGCAAAAGGGGAAATGAAAATATAAAATTTAACAGGAATGAGCAAACAAAGATGACTGAGACCTCAGATTTATGACACAACAGGGTAGTAATTGGGCAAATATGCCAGGACTAACTATATAAATTCTAGTCATGATGGTGCATCATATTAAATTTTGTTTTAAACTCACCATATTGGCTCTAATCAGTTATGAAAAGCAAATACATAGGAAGTCTCATCTACTTGTCAAGAACAAGTGGTATTTTTTCCCGTCCCTGATTAAAAACCAAGTGCGTATTTTCTTACAAACGTTAACTTTATTGAGTTGGACAAAAATTAAAACCACTGTGCAAGAAAGCTTTATGTTTGTCTTTTTTGAAAAACAAACAAACAAACACCCCTTTTTCATTTGTACTAAATGTTTCAATTTAAAAGATGGGAATAAACAAATACATCTATGAATTTTTCCTTTGTGGTTCTTAAATATTTAAATTAGATCAAACAAGTGTGTGTTCTTACCTGTGGTGAAAAAGCCCTTCAATAAGCTCAGGCTTTCAACAATCTTGTCCAAGTCTGGGGCTAACTTTGCAAGGTCTTCTGAATTAGGAAGTGCTTTTCTAATTTTCTCTGGAGAAGACCAAAACACATAACTAGTATCAAGATAGGAATATGTATCAGATAGTAGAATCTAAGGGTTATAAAAGTATTAACTTCCTCAATCCTCAAGGCAGCTCTACAGATTAGCTACTCTCACCATCCCATTTACGGATGAAGCCCTGGGACACACAGGAAGGAAGTGCGGGAGCCAGGGCTAGCTTCAGAATCCAGGTACTCAGCCACTACACTGTGGTACTGGCAAATGCATTGAGTTAAAAAACACTCCTCACAAATATTAGAAAAACAATTAGAAAACATGCATTTTCTAAAAAGCCTTCATCAATACAGCACTAGTTTATCTTTAAGAAGTGCTGTAAATAAGTATTTGTAGAAATTCCACCTCCGTATATACCTTTAATAAGAAATTAAGACAATATTTTAAAAAAGGACTGATAAAATAATTTTAAAAATTTAAAAAGATCATCATGAGCTACTTGTAATTAGCTATCAAAAATATTTTTCTCTCATCTACTTACTATCATTAGAGCAAAAGTTAAGAAGCTATCTAAAAAAATTTCTCTTTCTTAAAGAAATGACTCAAAAAAGTATTTAAGTGCTGATGATACAAACCAAGATCAATATACTCATCAATTTCCCACACGATGTCAGGGACAATCCATTTATAGTCACTAAGGTCTGGTATCATATCTTTCCACTGATCAAAAGTCTAAAAGATAAGAAAAGATGTCAGATATTTAAACATTCTGAATACCATATAAAAATGTAAAGAAAAATTATAAATTAAAAAACTTTACAAAAAACTGTATTATGTACAAAACTTGTAAGAAACAAATTTACATGACCTCAACTCTTCTATAAACAATTTTAGTAGGTAAGCAAATAAAATATGTAAATACTCCTTTACTAAATAGGAAAATGTAAGAATTCAAAATATACTGCCATTTCAAATCAGTTTCACATTGGCATTAACCAACACCACAGAGCAGAAGACCGGGACTCAGGACTCTGCCGCAGGGCCCAGAGCTGGTAGGAAGTGCCCCACTACTGTATGCACTAGCTTTCCTGTCTCTGCTCTTCACTGGCTAAGTTCAAAACCAAACAAGGTGTTCTCTCTTCTAGCCCAGGGCTCTCTCTGCAAGGCCATCTTTGTCACTCGTACTTACAACTAAAGTTCTGAAGGCATTTTCACAATGGCATCTTTAAAACAATCTAGGATTTGGTCAAAATACACATCCAATTATATTTTACTACACTTAAAAAAATGACATGCTGGAAAACCAGGAGGAAAGTTAAACTCACCTTTTTTGCTGTATAGCCACCACCCACAGCAGATCCCAGTACGAGATATCGAAGTTTTAAGAGCCTTGCAGCTAACCTTGCTGGCCAAAAATTCCTATGAGGCTGGTAGTCACATTTAACTGGAGAAAGTTTCAGTTTACGTAAAGGAAGGTTGGTTAGAGAAGAGAACTGCTGAAATGACGTCCTTAGGTGAGGTCTCTGAAACTTTAAGGTAGGATGACGTGAATGATAAATACTTCGTGAAACCAGATGCAATTTTTGGAGTGGTGAGTTTCCCTTCATTCCAGAGCTATGCTTCACCAGGGATTGGCAGACCTCACTGCAAGAAAAACAAGTATGGGAGAAAGATCAAACACCGAAACATCTTTGTTTGTGTCCAATACAAAGGACACAAAGAGCAATACTGTATTCCAAAGGGAAAACACACACGCACACATGACCAGCCACGAATGTTTGTACTTACTAACCACTGTGTGTGATAGCACAGCCACAGTGCGTGCTATCTTACGCAAGCCTGCTAGCAACCCTATAAAGTACCGGTATTATCCCCATTTGACAGATGAGGAAAAAATGGCACAAAGACACGAACACAACTTGCTTGAGTACACATCAAGATGAGGAATAAAAGAATTCAAATCCAGGCTGGGACTCCAGATGCTGCACTCTGACCATATGTGGGCTATACCACTGGTCCAAGGAATTGAAACCCAAAAGAGAAAAGGTGGGTTTTTATTTTGTTAACTGCTATTTACTGTAAGTAAAAGCTGAAAAGAAATATAAATTTTTGCTTTTAAGTACAAAAATTCCAGGAGTTCAGAATAGCCATGTTTTGCCACCGCATTTACATCTGCCAATTCTAAAATATGCCAGGGATGGAAATTAATTAATTCCACCGCAGTCACCTGGCTCCCCAGAAAAACAAAAGTAGCAAAAAAGCCTCCAAAGAGAAGAGAATCTAAGTATGTATGTGCACTGTGTGCACTCCCCCATTCTTCTCCCTGCACAACTGCATACCTTGTCTTACTCAACACACACTCCCAGTTGCTGCCATAAGCCAAACCCAATTCTAAGTTGCTTAAAAATATCAATTTATTTAATTACACACGAATGAAACTTCTGAAGAAAAACGAATTATGGAACACAGGAAAAATGGTACAAAGGCGAACATGGGCAAAGGGGTATCACTTGTATTCCTACTAAGTGCCAGACATCATGCTAGAAGTTTTCTTAGAAATGCTACTGTTGCGTAACTCTTGGAAAAAATCTGTATCTTCTTTTACAAATTTATTTTTAAAAACTATCTTGCCTAAGGTAGAAAAACTGGTAAATAGTGGAGATGAGATTAAAATTTTCTTCAGCCCAACAGCAAAGCCCAAAGCCTTTCTACAAAAGATCCAGGTGGGTAAGAGTATGGGAAACAACAGCCACATGAACAGGCTACAAGGCTATGGTGACAGTCTGGAATTTGAGTGACGATACACGGCCTTGCTCTGACTCGAGACTCTACAGGAACCTTCCTACCTGGGAGACCGGAGGGACACAGGGTTCAGTAGGAGGAGAATTACACATTGCCAGAATAGGCACACTGCTCCCGTGTAATTAAACATATACATGTTATTTCTGGTCACAAAAGCCTTTGGAAAAGCTGGTAGCCGTTTTGTACTTTTGTTTTTCAAACCCCTGCCTCAGGATAAATAATAATTTCCACTATCTTACAAAAATCAAATCCCAGTCTTCTATTAAGGGAGAGACTAAGTGCTTCTGATCTCAAACTTCACATATATAAAAGGAAAACCTTCAGCTTCAAATTGCCTCCACCCCAACAAGCAAACACACATGAAAATGAATAACAAATCCTATCAAATCAGAGGAGATAAGAGACAGTAAGGGTGTAAGAAGACAGTTCAGAGGAATGTGAATGATCCTAAGGAGCTGAGGTGGTCATGAAAACCTCCGAGGAAAAGTAAAACTTAAAAGTTAAGTGGAAAGTGTAGAGTCGGGAAGGAGAAGAGAAATCCTAGCCCGGGAGAAGGGCGCAGAGTGAAACGATGGAAAGAGCCAGGGAGCTGGCGGAGAAAGCTCAGAGTAGGGTTAGAGTGGGAGAAGCGGTCTAGGTCTAAGTCTAGGACAGACTACCGAGCTAGGGAACATCAGGCAGCATGAACTTCATCTAGGCCACACGAAAGCAGGGAAAGTTTCTGGGCAGGGTGAGACTAGATAGCAATTAGAGAAGATATTGAGTTGCGCCCACTGCATCTACACCCATTCTCCTCCCCAGTAAGGTTACAGCAAATGCTCCTCCCCGCCCCATTAGAGGCAAATGCCTGTCTGGTATTCTCTCTCCCTCTGCCCTTTCAGGAATCATAAATTTTCTCTCTTAAAAGAGAGAAAAAAATCCAATTTCCCTGGTTCTGGCCACTTTATTAAAAGACCACTTATTAAATCATATTGGCTTCCATTTTATCCCCTTAGTGAAACAGCTTTTACTGAGGGCACAAAACAAAGGATCCCGATGCGCGTTTTTTCCAATTCTTGTTTTTCCCGGTAATGTGTGACCATGACGCCGAGCTCATCCTGGGAACTTCCTTTCCCTGGCAGTCCGGAGTTTTACTCTGACCGGAGTTTTACTCTGACCCCACTGGTCACTCCTGTTCAGTCTCCTCCTGCCCAACCACCTCCTAACTACTGGGAGGTCATCAAGGCTTAGACAGGACCCACTTCTCTTCTCACTATTCCTCAAATTTTTTTTTTTTTTTTTTTTGGTACCGGGGATCGAACTCGGGTCCTTGCGCTTGCGCAGCAGGTGGCGAAACCACTGAGCTAAATCCCCGGCCCCCTCAAAGTCTTATCTCCACCCTGTCCTCATTTACCACCTACATATTCACACGTTTCAAATTCCTGTCTGGCACAAAGAATTTAGTTTCACGCCCTGTACTTAGCTGCCTACTCAACATCACTACTTAGATATCCAAAAGGTACCTCACAATCAAGATGCCGAAACCATCATTTTCCTCTCTGCTGTGCCCCAAAGCCTGCTCTTCCTGTGGCATTCCCTATCTCAGGAAATGGCATAAGCAGTTACATGATCATTCTTGATAGCTCTTCCTCCTCACCATTGCCCAATCAGTGCTCTTCATGCAAATCTGATCACTGTCCCTTATCTACATCAATCTATTAAATGGCTTCCCTGCATTTAGAATAAAATCCAAACTAATCTATAAAGCTCTACACAATCTGGTCTCTATCTGCCACTTTCCTCTGATCGCCATCAAAACTGAGTTATACCCAGTCCCTGGACTGTTACACAGTTCAGCCTACCCCAGGGCCAGGAGACCTTTTAACCACTCATTCTTCCAACCACTCACTATCAGCTTTACTTCCAGCATTCCCTCCCTTCCCTAGAGCTTCCCTGTAATGCTAGTCCTCCTGCTGCAGTTCTTGGCTCTTCACACTTTATTTTCAAGCACTCATGAAGTTTATATTATATAAGAATGTAGCTATTAGGTTCATATTCTGTAGCAGTAAACTGCAGTCTTCATAAGGCCAGGCCCTGTTTTATTTACCACTGTATTTCCAAAGTCTGAAGCTCCTCACAAATAGTAGACACTCATTAAATGTGTTGAATGAACAAAGGTTACTTGAAGAATGAAACTGAAAACACAAGGGAAAGAACCGAGCAAAGGCTAGCACAGAATAAGTGCTCTATAATGTCACTTGAATATTAATTTGCACTAAACTCTATTAATGTACAAATAACTAAATAGCTCTTTATTTCTCCAAAAATTATCTCTATTTAAGAGAAAGGAGTTAATCCAATATATAGCTTACTAGATAAACTCCAGGACTGAGTTTATCCCTAGAGGATGTTTTGGCTTTTCACTATTTTTTCACTCTTTCGCTTCTAAATTCCTAAAGTTCTTATTTCCAGTTAAACAGTGGCAGCAATAACTACGGATGAGAGGTGGGGGTAGGAGCAGGTAGTAGGGTAGGCCAGTTACAAGTAAAATGTTCTTCAATTAGTCCCCTAGAAGAGATAACTGCCTCAAAGCAAATTCCAGTAGTTGGTAAGATATCCTCAAGGATTATTTCAAGAATTTCCAATTCAAAAACTAAATGCTCATAGAGCAGAGGACTGTTGCACAAGAAGGTCCTCTTGAGACATGTGTAAGAGGGAAACCAGGAGAGGTAAGTGATTTACTGAAGCTCCATTCGAGGGAAAGCTACACGGGTTACCTTCCAACCTATTCCAGGCTGAGTAATCAAACTGTCAGGGGAGAGCTAAGGCTCGCACGTGTGTGTGTGTGTGTGTGTGGACTCCCACCGTGCTGTAACAATAGTGGCATGTGTAACAAGCTCAGACCATCTGTCTACTACCTACAAGTTCTAATGAAGCTTGCTAGTTGATGTATTCAACTCCTAACACAGTCTGTTCCCTCATTCTGCCAACCACTCACTTCCAGTTTCCCTCACTTCCAGTATTCCCTCCCCTCCCTGAAGGGAGGTAGGCCCCAAAAGACAGTATTTACATTCTCATCTGTTCAAGAGTAGAAAATGAACTGTGTTCCTTCATAGCATGTAAAAGAACTATGCATAGCAAAAGACAGATCCCAGAGCACGGGGCTGTGACATTCCACCTCTCCATTTCTTCTGGTAGATAAACTGGGCTAGCAGCATGAGACACTTTTAAGCCATGACTCTACGAAATCCATAGTAATTTTAGAAACAATTTAGCCCAACAGCATCCAACTGAATAAAGAAAAATACCAAATTTAAATCAGTGTTTGTAAATTTAATTCCAAGTTTTTCCTACACATGTTCATTTCTCCAACAGAGTATATTACTTTCCTCAGTCTTTTCTCCTTTTCATTTAAAGAAAATTAGATGTTTCCCCTTTAAATATTGAGAGGTAAAATACAAAGATCGTAAATAACTTACTTCAATATTGAGGGGTGTGGAGTTACTAAAAAATTAAAATTCAAAGAAATTTAAAATAACTGTACAACTATTCCAATTCACTCACATTATAACTACTGTATCTTATCCAGTTTTGCACTTGAACTCCTGTTAACTTTCTCAAAAGAAATGGATTCTTTATAAATGTTACAAATTATCTACACCATTTTATTTTTAGTAATTTTGGTTTTTTTTGAGACAGGGTCTTGCTGTGTAGTTCAGGCTGTCCTTTAACTCACTATGTATCTCAGGCTGGCCTCAAACTCACTGCAATCCTCCTGCCACAGCCCCTTGAGTGCTGGGATTACAGGTGTGCACCACCATGACCAGTACACCATTATAAAAGTTCTGAAAGAAATTCAATACAGGAACACAGCGCAGGTGCTGAGTTCACAGGTGTTTTCATGTAGAGTTAGTTCAGGAAAACTTGAGTTTTTCCAATCTTGCCTCATACATAATACTTCCAATCAAATGCCTGCAATAATAAACTAAGCTGGGAGGTTATCACAACAAACTGCCTCTAAAGATAAAACCAAATTTCATACTATTGAAATGCATACGGAAATCCACAGAAACCTAAAGATTAGTACAGTATGACTTTCTATTTAGGGTTAAACCAGGCCAGGGGAACAAAGACAGAGTGATTAGGCAGACGATGCCACTTAGCATCAGAAAGTGAGTCTCCATCCTAAACACTGCTTTGAGGCCAGCCTCTCTGAACACCGACCTTTGACACTGTGTGCGTCACTGTTCTAGAGGTGACCCCAATCAGAGGGCCAGAGACACAGGCGAGAGGGCCCCGAACCCAGGAGAGGTGCCCAGGTAGCTGCAGGTGCAGTGCACATTCCCCGCGGGGGTGGAAGAAAAGAGCCGAAGTGCAGAGAGCAGTACGGACAGAGTCAGACTCCGCAGAGAAGGGGAGGGGAAAAAGCAGATGGATAACAGCGAGGTCACAAGGGTGTAAAGGGCAGGGATGAAAGGACAATAGAGACAGGCCGAGAACAGCGACAGGCATCCAAAATCTTCGAGCTGGACAGGGACAAGGGCTCCGCAGGTAAAACCAGTCAGCACTCCTGTCAACTCTGGGTCCTCCAACACACCCGGGAATTCTTCAGCCGCCCTCGGCGGGGCCTGAGAATCATCTGCACATACTGGAGGTAGTGATGGGCCAGCCCTGTTTTCCAGAGGGCTCGGGAATAAGAAATAACGGGGCCAGGTTAGAGCCTGTGCTTACCAGGCCACGGCGGCCCGACGTAGTCGCCACATCCCGCCGGCGGAGAGGTTACAGGGGCGCCGAGACGGCTACGTGGGAATCCCCGTGTCAACCCTAGTCCAGCGTCTACCCTAGGAATGACCCAGGAAGAGGCTCTCGGCAACAAGGGCACAGAGCAGCTGCTGAAGCGTTCCCAATGGCGCCTAGACTTCCGCAAGAACCTGCCCGGCACCCGTACTCGGTCCGTCACTGAAACCAACCCTCCCCCCTTTCCGAGGCTGGGCAGCACAAACGGCCCGGGGAGGATCAGCGCATGCGCTCGATGTGCACTCCGCCTCGGAGCATTCGCCTGCCTCGCGGTCTTTGTTTCCGGGTTGGAATTCTGGGTTGCAACCTCGCGGTTTAAGTAAAGACTCGGAGTTGGGGCGGGTAGAGTCGGAACGGGGTGAAGGGCAAGAAATCTGGATTGATAAGTGCTCACCGGTGGCGACTGATTTAGTAAGATTTAGGTACCTAGGGAGCATGAAGGAGCTTAGCATAAAATGAGTACAAAATTAATAATTGAATAGATTAATAAAAACGTGTCTGTTTGGCTCGCTCTTGCTGCTCGTCATTGTTCAAAAGCACTTTTCATGTGCTTGGAAAAAGCAGGGTGCCAGAAGAGGAATCATAGTTTAGATGCCTTAGAATTTTTGAAATCAGACCAGCGTGGGACTCAGGTCATGTAGGCCAGGTATGGGATTGGAGTGAGCATGTGGAGTTTATAAAGGTTTCAGGATGACTTCGCTCCTTACTCTTACAGCTTTCTTCTGAATTTTAATTACATCAGTTTGTTGAAATGGCCCTTGTCAGGGCCTCTAACATTTCCATATTGCCAATGGTCAATTACATCTCAGTGACTTAATCTACTTTGCTCTTCTGGCTTTGCGGATATCACGTTTTCTTTTTTCCTACAGGAGCTACTGATGCCCAATCTCTTGCTATCTGCTTGTACCCCAGATATCTCAGTCTTGGAGAGTCCCTCACCGTGGGCACTCGAGTCCCTTCTTTTCTTTAGGTACATGCCCTAAATCATCATGCAACATTAGTTGCACGATTGCAAATATTTTCCTCTTCCAACTCAACCATATTTTATGAGGAAACTGGGCCATAAAAGAGATATGGCCCGTGAAAGTGCATGGAACCAGTTGGTGGCATTAGCCAGGACTAAAATCAGTGTGTTGTCCTGTGCCATATTATCAGGGCGATCAGTCCTCCAACTGCCTAGAAGGGAGGATGGGAGGGCTGAAGGAAGAAAAAGACAACAGACTTAACATACGTAATTTCAAAGTTTATGGCGGGGGTGGGGCTGGGAGATCAGTGCCTCCTCGAGTGGTCAAAGATAGACACTCCCTAGCTAGCCATTTTTTAATTGAGTACACACAATAATTGTAGGGAGTATCAGGTGACTTGGTACAGTGGTGGTAATCCTATGTCAAAGAGGATCTTATGCTGATGAGGATCTTAGGTGGTTGAGGGGCTTACATTGATTAGAGTGATAAGGACAGCGTTCTTACAGTAGCAGGTGGGACAAAATAATGGCTAATAAAGAAGGTGTCCTTCCTCCAGGTGGAACCTTTCTCTTGTTTTATTACTCTTGGTTCTCAAGAACCAAGATGTCTTCAGCTGATGCACTCTTGTCCTTGAGTTTCACAGTTTTCACGGGACCATTGAGGCCTCAACTTGTAACCAAGGGCAAAACAGTTATGTTTCTGCATGCCATAGCCGGTTCTTGGGCAAGGTGACATTGGACCTTAGACAGCTACAGTCATACTGCAATTATGAAATGAATTTTCCCCCCAAATTTATGCAGAATGGCTCTCGACACCCTATCTTCTATTTCAAGGGTAAATCCCACTTGCCCATACAGATACACAGAACACAGAATTCCTTTTTCTTTAACTGTCAGTATCATAAATCCAGACCCATCCACTCAGAATACCTACCAAGTATAGAGCCAGCTGCTTGAAAATCAACTTCCCACATGTGGGACTTCTGGGAATTTTCTTTATTGTGGTGACTGTCTCAATGGCAGGTTCAGGTAGGGATTTGCTATACTGATGTAGCAAACCAGATCTTTCTAGGGTTGTAGGTGTGTACAGAAATTTGCTGCTGTTACTTCCTAGTTATTTCAGAAAGTAAAAAAAAGATAAGCCACAAAACTCCTTTCATGGGTGGGTTACCTTTACAATTCACGAAGCCCTTGCTTGGCAGTTCCACTTGTTGGACAAGGATATGTGCATGAAGATGTTCATGTCTACTATGATATGAAGTAGTAAAAAGTTTGGAATCAACCTTAATATCCACATATAGGAACTAGAAAATAAATTCTATTTGTACTAGCCACGAAAGCCTATAAATTAGCTCTCTGTGTCTTAATAAGGAATAACTCCTTAATTTACAATAGCTTGATTTAGGAATTTTTGATTTTACAATGGTACAAAATCAGTGTGTGTTCAGTAAAAAATTGTACTTAAAGTACCTATACCTATTGTACACCTTCAGTATTCAATAATTATATGAAATTATATAAAAAGGCTTTGTGTCAGATGGTTTTGCCCAATTGTGGACTAATGTAAGTCTTGAGCTCATTAACGTAGGTGATATTGTGTTTTGTAGGTTAGGTGTGTTAGATGAATTTTTGACATGATCTTTTAAAATTATGATGGGTTTAACAGAATGTAACCCCAGCCAGAGTTGAGGAGCACTTGTATTACCTGGGGAAACTGTGAATTATTGCCTCCATTGGTCCAAATTAAGCCCATAGATTTGTTTTATTTTATTTTGCGTTTTTTTTTTTTTTGGCTTACATAGTGCTTGACTATGCAGTGTTTAAAAAACAATCTTAAATTTGTTGCTGACATTAAAAAACTAAGAAATTTCACATTTAAAAAAAATCTAATTTTTCTTAAAATGTCAAAAAGCCTGACAACATCAAGGCCTTCTTCTTACATGAAAAAAATTTCTTGGAAACCAAGTAGGACTTTTCTCCTTCAGACATCCATGTCTTCTGTAGTAGTTCATCCTCCTTCCTAAAGAGTTCCTGAAATTGAAAGCATTAACTGATATTTATCATGATGTTTGTGCTTTTATTTAAAAAATCAAGAGGAAAGAGATCCACTACTTATATCAAACACAAGAAAAATGAAAGCCTCAGTGCTCAGAAAAGGGAATTAGAATCCTCATCAACAAGCATTTATGAATCTCTTCATGTGAACACCGTCAGGTGATGTTTAATAAAAGTAAAACCGTCTCTGGTCTGGCTAGAGAGACACAACCATAGGTAAACAGATAAATGTCAGTGTGAGGAGCTGTACACTGAAGACCAATAAGGTTATCAGGGGGACTGTACCTTTTTAGAGGCAGGGCCAAAGTGTAATCAAGTGGGCTGAAGAAAGATAATTCTGGAAAATCAAAACAGGATGAATGTGGAAAGAAGGAGATTGAGGCTCAGGGAGACTGGGTAGGGTGCTTTTGAGGAGGCTGTGTGGCGGGTGCAAACTGAAGTCTGGCAGTGGGAATGACAGAGGAAGTGGATATCGACCTTCAGATGGTAAATAGGAAATATAACTCCCAACCCGCTAGACGTCTGACTCGCCGAGTTTGTGTTCTCCAAAATCAAAGAATGAATCCTAAGGAACAATGGAGGTTAAGAGTAGGAAATATTTATTGAGGGGAAAGACACAGCTCCTGGGAGGCAGGAGGGGGCCGATAGTGGGTTGCTGAGGACCCAACTTCTCGGGAATCTTTATATAGCGCAACCACATGGGTATAATGTGGGTTACAGCTATGATCAATAAGAGTATAAGTATAGTCTCTAGGTAACATTGATCCAGTGGGGAAGTGAGTCACGTAGCAAGTGTGCATGGAAGGAACAAAGAACTTCTCAGGAAGGGATGAGTCAGGGTCTTGATCACTCACCGAGGTGACGGATGTCTATCAAGGCTTCATTAGACCACGTGTTACCACTTCTCTTAGGCCTGGTCATTTTGTTTTTATCTTGAGACCTGGCCTCCAACAGATGTGCCTCCAGGCACAATTGTGATGTGTTTTTTCCTTTGTCCTTACTCTCAAGGGCCTAGCTCTGTCTGCCTATAATATTTCTGCCTAGCTTAGCTTTCTATGACAGGAAGAGGTGACAGATCATTAAAAGGACATTTATATTTGAAGCAGTGGAAACTGAAATGCAAGAATTAGGGAGAGGAATCAAAGACAACGAAGGTGTCACACTATCAGTTACATAAGTAGAGGAGCTGAGCAAAGGACAGGTACAGACAGGATATAATGTTGGCTCAGGATGATTGGCTAAAGCTGAGGTATTAATGAGTTATATGACCTTGAATCAGCACTATGAGCCAAAAAAAAAAACCCTTTCCCATCAAGTTTGCCTTCCTCAGGTATTTCATTATAGTAATGAAAAATAGAGTAGTAGATTCTATAATAATGTGAATGGTTCAATAAAAAACGGGCCACAGAATTATCATCGCAGAAGCAACTTCTTCCTAGAAGTGTTAAAATGACTTCTGTTCCTCTCATCCTGTATGTCTGCAAGAAACACAAGAGTGCACACCAGGGTCAAATATTCTGTGTGGGATTGGAGGAGGGTGAAATGCTTTACAAAACTGAAGGGTCGTGATCCCCTGGTACAGGTCTCCAATCTATGGCAGCACTACTGGGCCAGTCTCTGCTGCCCCTTGCACCACACAAGTCTGTAAACAAGTGCCTGTAAATTTCTTCCAAAACCAGAATCATACTTATTAGGAAATTCTGATTCCATAGAAAAACATAGAGCAAGGAGAGTTTACCATATTTGGAAAGTTACATGTTTCCTTTCTCTCTAAATGAGAAAAACCAGTTTTATTATCTGCTTTCTGGTCCACTTGGAACTCAAAGGAGTACTACTTTCTTTCTTTTTTTTGGTATGGTCCTAATGATTGCATTAATTGAGATGGGATGGAATATGCAGCTCCAGCACTTCAAATCCCCGATCTCTGGGACTCAATCACAGCCCAAGGTCCTTTCCTTCTCACATGGCATCTAATGGGGGCTCCCCCAAAAGCTGGAAGCCCAGACACCCCGGCTTGCTCCCAGCAGCGCCCTCTGAAACTTAGAGCCTCCAAGGTCACTTTGGAGATCATGGAAGATGGTCTCGGATAACTTTTGAAGGTTAGGATAGAAATGATCTACTT